ACACATTGCACACTATACAACTCATTCTGTGACATATGTTTCGGTTACATCTCTCTTAAAGATTTTGCAGCTAATTTTCTGTGACATTTGCACTGAAATATATCACTTCACGAAATGTTATTTCAAACTAGTCGTCAGAATTGGCGTACAAGCCACAAATATATCACTACTAAAATTGTTGAATTTATGCCCAGTAAAATAATTATTATTAAAATAGTTTATTGGATTGCGGTGTATAATTAAAATTACTAAATTATTTACACAAGCATCAAGATAAACCTGTATATTGCTTTAAATTAGGACAAAACGAGAACAAATATTGAGTCAGAATCTGCAGCTGTTGCCATAATATTTTCTCGTGTAATTCCAGTTATAATTGTCCCATATGGATGCACGCTGTAAGTCATTCTTGTTTCGAAATGATTGAGAACGACAAATATCCTATGAAATGTGAAGCAATATTTGTCCGTAATATGAAACTCATATTAGGTGAAACTACGAAACAAATCAATATAAACCATTTTTCACAACTTACATATTTTTTTTTTATGAAAGCATAAATATATCCAAGAGCTCCACTTATTATCTGTAGCCGCTCACATTACCGACTCTTCATAGTAAAATGGAGTACCGATCGCTACCAATCGGTACCCCGTTTTACTATGGAAAGTCACAATTTCAAACACCACACTAAAACAACTACTTATATCCAAAAAAGAACCTTGTACGGGAAGGAGGTACAGCTACACATTTGGTTATGTCCAATATCCAGTTATTCTGGGATTACTTTTTGCTTTCGAAAAAATGTCTGCTCCTCGACCGGGAACCGAACTCGTAGCCCCGAGGTGAGAGGCAAGTTACCTCTCAACTACATAGTTACTTATATAACAATAATTCATGTCGCACAGAAAGGGTGGAATCATTATTATAATTAATTATTAATCAATCATTAGGAATTCTCAAAAACATATTAAACCTAATTTTGATACGAAGTAATAAAATTTAAATAAAATATAAAATTTTCCCGTTTAGTTTTAAAAATAGTAAAATTGAGACTGCAGCGATAGTAAATTTAATCAGAATTTAAGGACAAAGAAATAAGTTATATATTCCCTTTTGAATAATTGAAAGAAGTTTGAAAAGTCTGAATACGCTTTAAAGGCTGTTCTTCTTCAACTCTTATAACTGGAGAACTGAATTGATCCAAGTTGGAATATACCATTCGGGCTCTTATCAGATTTTCCTAGACAATATTAGAAAACTTTTCACAAACCTGTCTAATTTAGCAGGCAGATTTATTTTTTTATGGTTCTATTATTTTGCTTATTTGTTATATAAAATTCGGAAAAATATTCGATTTTTTAATAATTTTTAAAATTTGGCATTAATCCAAGTGATTAAGATTATGTCTATAACAGATAATACAACTTAATTACTCTAGGTATATAATTGCATTTATACAGGGTGATTATTTTAAGTGCCTCGCTTGATTTCATTTCTTGTTTTTTCACTTATGAAAAAAAATTCTAGAACTACACTTATATGTCTTTTCTGGGCAAATTTTAAGTGACCCACCCTTTATATTTTTTAAAGAAAATTTTCTGAATTCATCAATTATTATATTTCATATTTAATTGCATATTGGGGTTTAAAATTAAAATAACAGCGGTATGTATTTTAAGGTAAAAGCATTTGAACAAATTAAAAATTCGACAAGAAATAGATTTAGTAATTATATATTACCATCCCTATTTTAAGCAGATGCAGAGAGAATTGGATCGCTTGCGTCTGTAGCAAAATGGTAATGTTTTCGAACATTAGCTATCTATAAAATTTATGGAATTACTTTCATTCTTGAAATAAATAAATTATTTAAATGTACTTGTTTTCATAGAAGACTTTGTTTTAAAAGATACATATATTTTGTAAATTCATTCTTATTATTCTGATTTGAAGAAGAATGAGGGACAATATACACTGCTCCTAGAAATTAATGCACCACACAAAATTTACCATAATTTGGAACTTGATTTTTTCTAAACTGTTTGTCCTATTTGAATGTTTTTTGTTTTGTAGAACAGCTCTTCTGAAATATAAAGCCATGCTGATTGCAAGTAAAAATAGTTTTTTCTTTAAATAATAGAATTATGTTTTTTAACAAAAAATTAAAAAACACTGTGAGAATTACCAGCAGCAAAACTAGAATCCAGTGTAGGTATACTCAATTATAACCTTATAATTCCTTAACAGTCTCGTATTTAGTACACATTTGTATCTTTTCTATTAAGGGAGATAAGCCGAGTGGAAAAAAAACTAAAACTTTTGTTTCTTAAATGCCATTGTTAAATAAATCGATTCTAATGAACTTGACGTCATTAGATAGGTAATTTAGTAGGCTACAAAACCGATAGTACAATAACCAAAACAAAAGGGCACCTTTAAAAATTATGATTTTTCTTTTTCTTTAGAGATTTTTTTTAAATGAGATATCTAATAACATATTCTATGAGAATGATCCTTTCTCTTTATTTCAAGATTCGGTTGAGATAAATTGGTCTATTAATTACGAAGATATCACCCATTAAAAACTTCTAATAAACGCCATCTAAACACATACATTGGAAATTATTGAGTATAACTCCCTTAATGGCAAAGATAACAAAGTGTACCAAAAACGAAACTGTTAAGAAAACATGAGGCTGTAATTGCGTCTAAACTGGATTTTAATTTTGCTGCTGGTGATTTCCACAGTGTGTCTCGAATTTTTTATAAAAAACATACTTTTATTTTTACGCCCTATATTTAAAGAAAAACAATTTTTACTTAAAGTCAGCATGGCTTTATATTCCAGAAGAGTTAACCTACTAAACAAAATAAAAAACATTAAAATCGGACAAACGGTTTAGATACAAATCAAATTCAAAATCATGGAACATTTTGTGTGGTGCGTTAATTTCTTGGAGCAGTGTATTGTATGTAACTGGAGGGGATTTATTTCTTAAATACAATTTCTTTCTGGTGAGTCAATATTTTTTTATCTCACCATTTTTTTGCTTCTAATACTAAGAAAACTATTATTTAATCCAATGCAATCATAATTGAGTAGTTGATTTAAGGGTTTCTGCTATAGAATGTATTTAAAGCTTCGTGTTTGATTTATTATCTACCTAAACTTTTATACTAGCGCATTCAGATAAGAATTACAGTATAAAATGTAAGAAACTCTAGGTATATGCTATTGTTATCATTTTTAAGGTTTGAAAGAATGCTTATGTAATACCCAATAATTATTTTATTTTTTTCTAGAAAAGTTATAAACATTTATTTAAAACTTTCTTATTACAATGTATTAAAAATATATATATTATTCGTTAAATTTATCTCTTTATTGCTAAAACTGCTTCAAAAATCAGGTTAAGTTATAGTATTGTCGAAATATATGCACACTTATTACCCCCCTTTTAGGTAATTCTTTTGCAGTTGTTTAAAACTTGAATTCCATGACCAATCTTAGTTAGATCTCTTTTGATAAGGACGCACAATTTGAAGGTATTGTGGAAATATTAAAATTAAAACCGAACGCGCTCGACGCTCACATTCGATTCTGAGAAAAGTTTATTAATAAAGTGACACTAATTAACTCCACTAAGCAAAGGGGCATAACTTATATATATATATATACATACATACATACATACATATATATATATATATATATATATATATATGTATATATATATATATATATATATATATATATATATATATATATATATATATATATAACAAACAATATTGCCCCCATAAAAAAAAATTGCACGGTGGAATATGCAATAATTGCAAATGGCAGAAAGATGCAAACCGTGAACACGTGTTTCTGACTAATTGGTCTTCATCAGCACGGTGTAGCTGAGTTTAATGATGGACAAATCTCAAAAAAGATACTACAGAAAAACCACTGACAGGGAGCCAGTCGCACCTTGTGGCTTCCACTTGGATGGCTCTGTATGAGAGTGTCGTCCAAGCATCGCACACGCAGGCAACTATAGCAACCTGCGTGGGATTCCGGACCCAGATGAAAGATATGAACAGAGAAGGAATTAGACGCGGGCGTACCCGTTAATTCATATTGTTTGTTACTGTAATGTAATTAAACCCGCGGCTAATTTCTTCTCTGTTCATATTTATTCTCTTGGGTCCGGAATCCCACGCAGGTTGCTATTGTTGCCCGCGTGTGCGATGCTTGGACGACGCTCTCATACAGAGCCATCCATGTGGAAGCCACAAAGGTGCGACTGGCTCCCTGTCAGTGGTTTTCCTTTAGTGTTTGTTTTTGAGGTTTGTCCACCATTTAACTCAGCTACACCGTGCTGATGAAGACCAATTAGTCAGAAACACGTGTCCACGGTTTGCATCTATTTGCCATTTGCAATTTTTGCGTACAGTAACAAACAATATGAATTAACGGGTACGCCCGCATAAAGAAAAAAATTGCAAGGTGAAAATTGCAAAAATTATTGCTTTTTTTCTAAAGTTAACTGTTTCGGAGATATAGTCGCACGAAATTCGATACTTTTGCGCGAAATAGTGTTTTTTTAATTGCAGTACCTACCAGTTTCAGTGCGATATGCATACTTTTTTTCTATAGACCATAAGATAATAGTAAATAATTAAGCACTAGATATTAATACTTATTTCCACACCACCTTGCGGTAGAGTACCTGGCGCGTTATTTTTTTCCCTGGTATCCCCTGTAGGCATATTCCACTATATGAGTTCAACTTTTTTCTATTTTTTTTCGCTTCGACGATGAAGGCTGATTTTATTGGTCTTTCATAGTAGTGTCCACACTCTCACTCTGTTCTTCTGAAGTGATGTGGTCTTCTTGTACTTTAAACGCTCTAGTTGAACGTCTATGTTTTCTGCCCTGAATCCTTTTGAATATCTACAGGCTATGTGGCTTCACCGTTGGGTCGTGTAGCTTCATGGTTGAGTGGTATGGCATCATGGCCCAACGGTAAGGACACTTGCCTTTCATCCTGGAGACCCGGGTTCGATCACCGGTCGAGCAGCTAGGATTTTTTCTAAACCAGAAATTAATCCTATCATACTCGACATTGGTTGTGTGTCCATTGACTCTAAATGTGTAGCCTTATTCCACACAAGAATGCTAACGTACCGCTGTCCGAGTGCCATGCAAGCGTGCCTCCCACTCGGACAGCGACATGTCAGCACTCTCTTAGAACATACCATCAAGTTCAAAAATGGTATGGATATAACAAGAACCCACCAGACTGGGGATGGAGAAATTTCAAATATAGTTTGGTTCCAATAATTCTCACCGCCACGGATTCGGCTCCACAATCGCTCCTGAACACAGTATCTTGCATATGATCAAATGGATGCAGGGTAGCTTGCGGTTGCAGAAAAGTGGACCTCCGTTGCTCTACAATCTGCATTAATTATCTAGAACAATCCTGTACCAACATTGAAAAATGTGGAAGGCAATGAAGATTGTGATGAAAACATAGACGTTCAACTAGAGTGTTTAATGTACCAGGAGACAGAAGACTACATGGCTTTGGAAGAACAAAGTGAGAATGTGAACACTATTCTGGAAGACCAACAAAATCAGCCTTCATCGTGGAAACGAGGAAAAATAGGAAAAGAACTTGCAGTAGGCGTATAAGAGATAGCGTTGATGATTCTACTCCTGTCAAATATTACAGGCGCTTTTTATTTACCTTCTCTATGGCAACCATAAAAACGTTATTGTTCTTTGTAAGGAATCAACTTATAGCTAATGTCATATTTATTTTATTTTTAATAATTATAGGCACTATTAGCAAATAAATTTGTTATTCATTATTAATTTATTGTCTATATTATTACATACTCGAAGAATTGTCATGATATATACCATTCGATGTTTCTATATTAAATAGGATAAATTTTGATTTACACTTAAACTTTGTTGTCATTTTGACAATGTAACTCAAGCAATCTACAACAAATACTCGATCTGCGTGTTTTTGTACGACAGTTTGCTTTCGTTATATTGTCATGGACAACTAAGTTTTCGTGTAAATAAAAATTTATCCAATAAAATCGAAATTTCAAGAAAAAAATACTGTTTTCTCGCAAAAGTATCGGACTTCGAGCGAATGTATCTCAGAAGCAGTTAACTTTAGGAAAATATCTGATGTGGCCAACACATAACTTTCTTATACCAGTGTATATCATCCTGATCTAAAAAAGTCATTCCAATTTAATACTTGACTTACCTCAATTAAATTTTAAAAGCATACAATGAAATGTTTCATCAAAATTTTTAAATAATTAATTTTCAGCGTCCTTCGATACTGTCAATAATAGTAATGTATGTACATATTTTTTTAATAATTTCTTGTTATTGACATATTGTCATTTTTTTGACTAAATTAGAAACTTTAAATATCAAACTGCCAAATGCATCCTAACCCTATTTTATGAGGTCAAATGTGGACATAATTTCTGTTTCTATCAGCCTTGTTTAAGTACTTGGAAAATATATTTTATTGGCTTGATATAATAAACCTGAATTATAATCTTTCATCAAGAATATATTTTTTTGTAGTCAAATACTAAAAAGTTTAGGATCCGTGGACCCCCTTCAGCAGGCCAATTTTATTCATCACCGAATTCATCATTGTCTTTGGGCTTTAGAACATGTGTACCAAGTTTGAAAGCTTTATCTAAAAAACTGTGGCTGCTATCGCGATACTCAGACATGCAGACAGATTTTTTCATAGTTATGTTTTTTCATCATAATTCGCAGAGATTCGTCTAGAAATGCAATCAATTTTTTTTTCCGAAATTGTACCTTTTTTTCTTCTTTCATTTGTTGTGTCATTTCTGGTGGTGCCACATTCACCAAATTTAATGTGTCACCTAAAATGTTGTTGCAAATCTTAATTGCCAAATTTGGGAAGTCTCCTATTAGTATTCTTTAAGTTATCGTGGCTACACACTTATACCCACACATCCACACTCACCCACATGCACACGCACATGCACATGTACACGCACACGCACACGCGCACGCACACGCACACGCACACGCGCGCACACACACACACGAACCGACAGACATCATTCGAAAAATGGTGAAAATGGATTCAGGAGGCTGCAAAACATATAAATCAATTAAAATGTCGAGGTCGAAAATAATCACGATTACTATACTTCCTTATTTTAGGTATAAGAAAGTAAAAAAGATTTCTCCTGTAGAAAATTTAATGGCAATTAATATTGGTTATACATGTTTCTGTCAAAACGTTAACATTTTAGGAGATATTTGCGAAAAACTAAATTTCAGTGCTATTTCGTCAATATGGTGTCTAGCGCCGATACCGTATGAGGGAGAAGCTTAGTATGGCTAGAGGGAGATACAACTAAAGCGATTAAAACAAAATTCTATATTTCCTGCAATTATTTCCTTATTGGGTTTTTTTTTACTCTTTAACGCCTGGCCTGTTATAATAGTTAACCATTTTATGTTCATGATTTCTCTGATACCGTTATTACCTTAAAGTTCAAGGTAAGGAAGAAATTTAGAAATCGAATCAGAGCTGAAAGAGAAAGTCAGGTTATTTGTGGTTTAAATAAGGTATTGTCCTAAAGTGCACCAAAGGGAGCAGACCTTTTTGAAATGAAACATTCTATTGTCCCTAAACATGATACCGTTGTACCATTTGGTCTTACTTTCACAGCATATCAGATACATACCGGTAGCAAATAAAACAGTAAATAAAATCTCGGAATAAAGCAATGCATTAGCTATATTGCAGATGCAGAAATTGTATGAAAATGATACGAGAGTTAATGTAGGTACATTTAAATTTCACCCGAGATAATACTTGAAAATTACAATTGGTTTAAAATAATCTTAATGAGGGCTATCAACGTTGTTTATTTATGAGAATAATAACAGACTTGGTATAAACGTTGAGGATGTTATTTCTTTAATTATTATGCAGAAGGATATTACGATACCCGTACTCGTATCCATAATACAGAGACACAACTTATGGGTACTGAGTGAAAAGAGACGAACATATTTATTCAATTAATCCTAGTTGTTTTATTCTATCTACATAATATCATAATGTTAAATATTAATTAATGTTATGTTACTCTAAAGACAAACTGCCATAACACATATATAAACACAAACACCTAATATGCTTAGTTAATCAAGTGTTAACTAATTAATTTATCTACTGTAGTCGAAAATGTAGTTATTTAAGAATAATTATGTATTTTCAAACCGCCAAGTAAATATTAGAAGTATAATTTCGAAATAAATTTAGATGTTATAATAGAAATATTATATAAAATATAAATTTAAGAAGTTTTTTCTTAGAGAACAATAAATTATATTAAATTTTTAAGCCGTGGAAGTAAATATTAAAAGTATAATTTTCAAATAAATTTAGATGTTATGGTTATGATAAAAATAATAGAACGTAAAATTTTAATATTTTTAAAGAGAGTATTATTTTTTTAAAATATTTAAGAGCCATTTGTAGGGCACTTAAGACAGTGGTTTTTAAACAATCATATCTGCCATATTAGTTACACTACTGCTTCCAAATTTAAATGGATCCTAGATAAAATGGTATTTGAGGGTGTGATCATGTAAAATTTAAACTATATGTAGAATAGTTGGTTACATGGACATGAAAAAATTTGAAAATTTCTTTGATGTTTAATATTGTGTCTATTAACGATGTTTGCTATAATCATGTGCTCATGCCATTAAACAACTCTGTAAATATAAACTGTAAAAGTTGTACGTATAAATGTAAATAAGTTTCCTGTAAAAACTTTCTAATAAAAACCTTATAATCAGAAATATTTGCATTGGAAAGTGCTGCACTCTACAGCAAATTGGCGAAATCTCTATAAACATGTAAATATCTAAATTAAAAGTTTTCAACAAATTTAGAGTATTTCAATTAAAAATAAATATTTATGTCTTGGGCTTATGCGTAATTTACGCACGGCTTGTACTTAAAACTAAAATAAAAATTTTCTGATGATAAAGAAATTTGTAATCATATATCTAGATGGCAGATTTCCTTTGGCCCACCCAGTAGATTTAGGAAGGTTCAAAATGTGACATTAATAATTAATTATATAGTTGATTGAAGATGAAGTTACTTTGTGGATAAATATAAACACTTTTTATTACTTGTCTAATTTTCACTTTATTTGTTATTTTACAATTAATTTCATCTTATTTGGACATTTTCAAGTAAACTAAATTATACACTGATTTTACTTTCATTTAAATATAAACTGATCAACTGCATAGAAGGATGGGTCACTTTATGGTTGATCATATAATTCATAATTTGTACAGATATTATGTTTTCAGATGTAGAGGGTTTCACAAGTTGGTAAATTATATTATGGTGTGATTTTTATTAACAGCATTAGGTTATCTGAACAAGTTTAATAACGGAGAATTATTTAAATCTATTTGGTCATTTAATATGTTGTAATTTTTATTCCTATTTAATTTATTTATTTCTAGTGCTTCTAATAAATTAACATTTTTACTTTTCCCGCAAATATGTAATATTTTAGGTTGATGGTCATCAGTTATTATTGTATGACCAGAATCTGTTAGGTGTTTATAAAAGTTGGTGTGTTGTTTTTGTGTGTGAATATGTTCTCTATATCTTACCCCGAACGATCTACCTGTTTGACCTACATATGAAGCGTTACATTCTGGGCAATCTAACCGATATACACCATATTTTTTAGAGATATTAATCTTTTGTTTTGCATTAAAAAGATATCTGCCTATATTTTTGTTACAACTAAATGATATTTTAATATTAAATTTGGAAAAAGTGTTGCTAATTGAATAAGAGAGTTGACCTGAATATGGTAATGAAATGTATGTTTGAACTTTTTTGTTGTTAATAGTGAGGTAAAATAAAATCTGTGTATAATTTAGTTTACTTGAAAATGTCCGAATAGAATGAAACTAGTTGTAAAAATATTAAATAAAGTGAAAATTAGA